TTTATTTGAAAGATAAGAATGACTAATTTTTATAAAAATATTTTCAAACTCATTACGTTTAAAATCATAAAATTACAAAAAAATTTCCAGTTGTTTTTACTAATGAACTTTAAAATTCAATATCTCAGTAATTAGTAAATAAAAAAACCAATCTATTTTTTATTTGAAAAAGGAATAGAGTGTCTTTTACATCAGGAAATTAATTTAGCATAAACTTGCATAAATCTTACGATGCTGACATAATATTGTGTAAATCTTACAGTGCCGATGTAAGTTTTACACTTTTTTATTATTAAACTTACAATTGACACATGTAAAATTTTTTTATATTTTCCGGATGTATTTAAAAAAAATTTTAAATTAATTATACTCAAAATTATAAAGTTACAGGACCAGTGACAAAACTTTCCAAATGCCCCACGTATGTCAAGAAAACTGTTTCATAATATTGAACTTAAAAAGATCTGCAACTTTAAGGGGGTTTTTCTTAAAATCGTGATTTTCAAAATTGACTCATTTTTGCTTGAGACTCCCATATATATAAAAAGAATGTAAAAAATTACAACTGAATATATATTCTGGGTGATACCTGAAATTTGCTAGGTGTTAGAACTGTAAATTTTTATAGTTTAGACTCTTAGATGGCACCTAAAAAAGTTTCGATGTGTGCAGTATTGAATTATCCCAGGACCAACCTTTTCTACTATGATATTTTGATGTAAATGGGAATCCAGCATCAAGGTCTCATGGAATTCCTTGGATTGTTAAATTTTGGTTTCTCAAGTATCCGGTCTTGAGAGAAAATGCAAAATTGAATAAAAAGAATTAAATGAAATGAGAATATATATATATATGTTAATAATAAATTTCCTCTTGAAACTTTTATAATCATTTTGGATTGATTCTATCAATAGTTTTAATTCATTTGACAAATCTAGCCACCTTCATTTGGAAGAGGAGGAGGGAAGAGGGAAGCATTATTGATTTAATTTATAATCTGGTGGAAGCATTGCATTGTGAAAGTATCAATATGTAAGTTATGGTTCATTGTACCTAAGGTTGGTTGCCGAAACTCTCCAGAAATCAATCAGCAGGGTTTTGGCAGGTTACACATTAATTGTTTATTAGAGTTTCAGCAGAGTTTTGCATTTTGAAGTTTCACAATTTCGGCATAGTTTCAACAAGATTTTTGATAGGATTTAATATAGTTTTGCCATGGTTTCAGCAATTACTAAGGAGGTTTCACCCACAACCTTAAATGTACCCAATTGAATGACAAAATAAGTACAGATTGTTTAAATGCCTCATTAAGAGATACATACCAATCAAGCAAGTAATAGAATCATTAATTACTTCATTGTCAATAAGATGTTTTTCACCAAGCCCTGCATCTTTCAGTTGGAGACAACTTTGATTCTTGAAATCAAAAGAATGTCTTTTCAGATTTTTGATGAGCCCATTCAACTATACTAATACCATTCTAAGATTTGGCTTTCATACATCTTTAAAATTCCATCCCTTTATCAGTAATTGATAAATTTGGCCAGGTAAGTGGGCAATTTGAATTATTGTAAAATTTCTGAATGTTTTAATAACTTGTAAAGATTTATTAATGCTTTTTGTAGATAGATGGATAGCTTGCTGCTACATCAATTAACAGCCCTGGCAAATATTAATAATAATTATAAACAAAAATAATAATAATAATAGTAATAATAATAATAATAATAATAATAAGAGTATGGCCACCTCAATTAAGTTAAACTGCAAAGAAAGCTTGCCTAATTTAAAATAGATTATAATTGATCACATTTTTTTAAAAAAAACAACAATGAGATATTTTATTCACCTCCTTATAATGATAATAAAAAGACCAGAAAATTCAAATAGTCAGATGAATAAATCATCTGGTATAGTCAAGTCAATTTGTCGAGATTCTACAAGTATTTAAAATATATAACATATAATTTAAAATATTGTTAATAATAAATGATATATATATAACAATAAATTAGATTATTTACCATTATTATTACTAATAATTGTAACTTTATTTGAGTTTACAGGGTGGGGAAGGTTTGTAAAATTCAATAATCTGCTTGTATAAATTGCATTTGGATGAACAGTTGCTGTAATTGTTGAAGGATTAAAAGGTTTTTCATCTGCTTTCTTGAATATTTTTTGTGTTATTTTTAATTTGTCAAGCTCTTCTTCAGAATAATTAGATTTATTTGATTTTAGAATTTCATCAAGATCAATTGCATCTTTCCAAAAAGTAACAGTTTTTAAAATTTCATTTGCTGTTGGTCTTTTTTCAGGATTAGCATCTGTGCATTTGTATGCTAGCTCAATATAACATTTTGGAGTATTATCTGAAAAGCTAGGTCTTAAGCCACCACAGATTCTGAAAGCAAGATTTAGATCATATGGTAGATCTTTGAATGGTTGTTGATGTGTTGATATTTCTGACATTAAAATTCCAAAGCTATAGATGTCAGATTTTTGTGTAAGGTTTTTTATTTAAAACCACTGGTGCAATATATGGCAGTATTCCAATAATGCCATCTTCGCTTGATGGTTCTTGATCAGCTGGGCCTGATAACCCTAAATCCGCAATCATTACCTTCTGGGATAAAAATCGAAAATACAAAATATTGCCACTGTGAAGATCAATTTAATATAGTTTTGCCATGGTTTCAGCAATTACTAAGGAGGTTTCACCCACAACCTTAAATGTACCCAATTGAATGACAAAATAAGTACAGATTGTTTAAATGCCTCATTAAGAGATACATACCAATCAAGCAAGTAATAGAATCATTAATTACTTCATTGTCAATAAGATGTTTTTCACCAAGCCCTGCATCTTTCAGTTGGAGACAACTTTGATTCTTGAAATCAAAAGAATGTCTTTTCAGATTTTTGATGAGCCCATTCAACTATACTAATACCATTCTAAGATTTGGCTTTCATACATCTTTAAAATTCCATCCCTTTATCAGTAATTGATAAATTTGGCCAGGTAAGTGGGCAATTTGAATTATTGTAAAATTTCTGAATGTTTTAATAACTTGTAAAGATTTATTAATGCTTTTTGTAGATAGATGGATAGCTTGCTGCTACATCAATTAACAGCCCTGGCAAATATTAATAATAATTATAAACAAAAATAATAATAATAATAGTAATAATAATAATAATAATAATAATAAGAGTATGGCCACCTCAATTAAGTTAAACTGCAAAGAAAGCTTGCCTAATTTAAAATAGATTATAATTGATCACATTTTTTTAAAAAAAACAACAATGAGATATTTTATTCACCTCCTTATAATGATAATAAAAAGACCAGAAAATTCAAATAGTCAGATGAATAAATCATCTGGTATAGTCAAGTCAATTTGTCGAGATTCTACAAGTATTTAAAATATATAACATATAATTTAAAATATTGTTAATAATAAATGATATATATATAACAATAAATTAGATTATTTACCATTATTATTACTAATAATTGTAACTTTATTTGAGTTTACAGGGTGGGGAAGGTTTGTAAAATTCAATAATCTGCTTGTATAAATTGCATTTGGATGAACAGTTGCTGTAATTGTTGAAGGATTAAAAGGTTTTTCATCTGCTTTCTTGAATATTTTTTGTGTTATTTTTAATTTGTCAAGCTCTTCTTCAGAATAATTAGATTTATTTGATTTTAGAATTTCATCAAGATCAATTGCATCTTTCCAAAAAGTAACAGTTTTTAAAATTTCATTTGCTGTTGGTCTTTTTTCAGGATTAGCATCTGTGCATTTGTATGCTAGCTCAATATAACATTTTGGAGTATTATCTGAAAAGCTAGGTCTTAAGCCACCACAGATTCTGAAAGCAAGATTTAGATCATATGGTAGATCTTTGAATGGTTGTTGATGTGTTGATATTTCTGACATTAAAATTCCAAAGCTATAGATGTCAGATTTTTGTGTAAGGTTTTTTATTTAAAACCACTGGTGCAATATATGGCAGTATTCCAATAATGCCATCTTCGCTTGATGGTTCTTGATCAGCTGGGCCTGATAACCCTAAATCCGCAATCATTACCTTCTGGGATAAAAATCGAAAATACAAAATATTGCCACTGTGAAGATCATGATGCATAAGTTTTTCTTGATGAAAGATGCTTAAACCCAAGATAATATTATAAAGCATAGTAATTCCACTCTTCCATTCTGGATCATTTGATTCTAGGTAATTTCTAAAACTTCCATTGTCTGCATATCTCATCACTAGAATATATTCTTTTGTATTGGGATCTTGCGAAATACCATAAATATTAACAACACCTTTATAATAAGGACCTATAAATTTAATGTGATTTTGAAGCTTTTGTGAAAATTAATAAAAAAATTTAATACATTGTGTTATTTAAAAGTCATTAATGGTTAATTAATTATATTACCTCCTTTAAAAAATTGTCAGAAATATTTTGTGAATTATTTAACTTTTTTAATGCTACATATTTATCATAATAATAATATTTTTTATCCTAGGACCATTTGACCAGTAACCTTTATATACAGTTGCAAATCCACCTTTGCCTATTTCTTCTTTAAATTTGAGTTGGTCATAAGGAATCCATTCAAGGTAATTATAACTATCAAACCCTTTTGCCTCAAGCTGTGTATTTTTAATTATTTCATCTAATTTTTCATTACCACTGCTAGTCCAACTTTGAGCCAACAATTTGGGATCACATGATTGACACCATTGGTAATTAGTATTGTCTCTTTTACAAGCAGAACAGATTCCATACTCTTCTTTTCTTTCATTTTTAAACCCTTTAGTGGTATCTTATTATTTCAAATGATTAATTTTTTTTATTAAAAAGAAAATAGCATTTATTTTTCAACATAATAAAATAGGCATTCATTCTAAATAAAAATATTTTACCTTCTTTAATTGGTAGTCATTATAAAGACAAAAGATGAATTATATATTAAATTAAAAATAAATTGCTTTGTTTTGCAAAAGTTAATATATAATATAATAATATATTGTTTACCAACTAGTTATTATAAAGTAAATTTAGCCTTAATTTTAATTAGATGATTTGTTTTAATAAATTTATTTTGTATATAATGCTTACATGCTGGTTAATATAAAGAAACAAAAATAAATTAGATAAAAATTATTTTGTGTTGTAAAAGTTAATTTATTTATAATATAATAATATAAAATACTTACAATCTGGTTATTATAAAGAAATAAAGATTAATTAGATGAAGATTATATTTTGCATGTTAATTATAATATAATATAATATGATAAAATAAAATACTTACAATCTGATTATTGTAATAAATTTATTAATTAGGTGATGGTTTAATAAAAAATATTTTGTATTGTAAAGTTAGTTTACAGCAATATAATACTTACCAACTGGTTATTATAAAGAAATAAAAAATAAATTTATTAATCAGATGATATTTCAATAAAAATTATTTCGTGTTATAAAGTTAATTTACAATATAACAATATTTACCAGCTTATTATTATTATTATAGAGAAATTTATTTGATTAGATGATGTTTTAATAAAAATTATTCTGTGTTATAAAAAGTTAATTTATAATAAAATACTTACGATCTGAAAAAGAAATTTTATTAGATAAAACTATTTTATGATGTAAAAGTTAATTTATAATAAAAATAAAATACTTACTAACTGGTCATTATAAAGAAATAAAAAATAAATTCATGATGTTTTAATAAAAATTATTTTGCACTATAAAAGTTAATTTATCATTATATATAGTATAAATACTTACGATCT